AAATAGTCCCCAACAAATGCACTCTTCTCTCCTGTTTGATAAAAACTACAAAGCCAGATTGTTTTAGGAAATTAAGTCAATTAACTTTTTATTTCTTTAAATTACTCTAAATGTCTGCAGTAGGAGTTAATAGACTGTTAAAACTGTCCCCGAAACCTAAAGCATTTCAACAAAACCTTCACAACTGTACGGCCTCAAAAATGACCACACGGTTAGATCAGCTCTCAATTTCAACAAAAAAGTATAAAGTAAACTTTGCTGAGGTGGAATTTATTGAATACCATCACACAGATTGTGTTTCACTATCTACAACAGGTTGTAGTGGCTGTATAAAGCCGGTGCGTTGAGCTCAATGAACGACTGCAGGCTAACAAGCTCACAATGACAATGCTCACATGTTCTCCTAAGTGTAGTATTCACCATCTTTAGTGGCTTTGTTCAAGGTGTTAATTGTTATTGCTAATTAGCAGTAGAGCACAGTATTGGACACTAGATGAAAAGTCAGAGGATCACAAAAGTTATTACAGTTCAGACATTAATGCACCAAATTTAATATAAATCCATCCAACACTTGATGAGATATTTCAGATATTTTATGTAGAAAATACTGAACTTTAATGGCACTCGAAGATGATCTGTTCAGTTAAACATTCTCTGTTCTTTTATCATTCTGTCCACTTTGTCGTCGCAGCATGTGAGTTCTCACTGCAGTTTTGCTTTATTTAACAAACGACCTGACAGTTTGATGCACGAGCGTCGTCTGCTGCCAGTTTTCGAACTGAACGCGAGCACAGAATATGAAAAATGGCAGAACGGCTCAAAGGAAGGAGGGAGGGAGGGAGTATGAAATGTGTGAGCAGCCAGCGATAAGGTTTGATGCATGAGGGTCCAACTGTTGCTCCGGCAGGACCGAACGGAGGCCCGAGGAGGGGAGCTGTGTACCCCTGGTTTATGCTAACCTTGCAGTGTCACATAAATTATTCAGGGACAGCTCAGCCCGGCAGAAACGAGACCCTCAGCAAAGCCAGACCCATTATAATTCCACAGACGGAGTCCACAGAGTGTCTGCTCGAGCTGGTAGAGCTTCTCAAATTGTACACGGGATCTTTTTTCCTGTCAGCTATTATATGTTTTATTAACTGTTTGTTTCTGGGCCTCTCCTCACTTTACAGCCCGATTCTGACTCATCTTTCCTCATGTAGATCTTTTGTGTTTCCGAAACTCAGCTTTAAGAACTCAGCTTTAAGAGCTTTTCCTAGAAAGATTCCTGGAAAGAACTGTATGGTAGTGATTAAAAAATAAGAATTTCCTGAAAGAACAACTCGTTTTAAACCGTAATAAGTATTAAAAGGGCCAGTGTGTAACATTTGGGAGGATCTATTAGCAGAGATGGAATATATTCATAGGCATGTTTTCTTTAGTGTTTAATCACCTGAATATAAGAGTTTTTGTTACCTTATAAGGAGCTGTTTTTATCTACAGAGGGAGCGGGTCATAGGATGCAGCGTTAGAGGCACAAAAAAAGTTAGTTTTCCAGGTATAAAATGAGTAATCCTCCCCAACCCAGGATATAGGAACACTGCTGACTGCAGGACTATTGACAGTTTGGACTACTGTGCATGAAAATTACTTGTAGAAGATCCAACCTGGGGGTCGCCATAAAGCTTCAAAGCCTTCTTTATATTAAAGGGTGTAAGAAA